CAGGATGAACAGGATTGACCTTCTAAATGGGTAGACACCAATGCCACTGGCACCATCCCAACCTTCCAAAGATCCCTGAAAACACAGACAGAACAAATTTTGTAAACCAATAGGACGAAGTGTCAAAGTTGAGGGCCACGAGACAAGAATGATCAATCCTCCAGAATTACCCATTGGAGTAGAAGAGAGACGAACAGCCAATGACGATAAACAAGACTACAAACGTGGCGTATAAAATTGGGCCTCAAAAATTTTAGGGACTCCAGCAAACTAGTAAGGCCGAAAAGGGGTCACCTCCCAGAAATCATGAAGAGGAGTATCATAATACAGTAGAAATTGTTAAATGAACCCGCAAAAATGGAGATCTGGTAAGATGGATACAGGCTCTAAACTGGAACCCCATAGATCCAACAACAAATCCAACTGTTGAGTGTCCAAATATACTACAGCAAGACGATGATAAGCCAGGTCATGTTGTTCTGATAAAGAAGGTGAGCAAGGCATACCAATTCTCTCTCTCATAACTGCACTGCAAACATCCCAGTATACATGGAAATATTGGGGGAAGGAGGAAGAAATACGTAATCCCCCTGAACCATAAAAAAAACACAAAAAAACAATCAAATATCAGCAATGGAAAAAAAACAACAAAAAACAAAATGTGAACCACAAAACATAACTCCTAGTGCTAGCACTTTGTCAAGAAAAATGATTATATTGTCGATATACAGTGCTTATATACAGTACCTGCATAGAGGGCGTGTGAGAGCCGGTGTAAAGTTTTGCAAATTAGATATTGCCGAGGGCAGTCAAATGGGGCATAAAGACTCGAGCAAACGAACACGACGTTTAGATGGCAAAAATTAAGATTGAGAAATAGCTATAAGTGTCAGTAGAGGTATGTAAGTTTGGAATACATAAATTTCAATCACCATATCTTCATTTGTTTTTACTTTAACCTTTTTAGAATTAAAAAGAATTTCATAGGTTAGTACTGAAAGCCTTTTCTTGCTGAGTTGCTCTCATGCTGTCAACAACCATTGGACTAGATGTTCAGAATGTCAATGATGCAAAGCAGAGCATGTGTTAACTTATAATTCTCCACTCTTGCACCAGCCAAGTGAGCGACTTACTGTACATGTATCAGGACATATTATATGAGCTCTGTGTTCCTACCGTAATTCAGACTTCTAAGCTACCATAATGCATCTTCTGGTTGTGAGGAGATAGGTGGGAATGCACTTCAGAAATAAGTACCTATTTGAAATTTATTTTAATTCTAAAAATGTAAAATTCACATTAGATAGAATTACCTTTGAATGAAAAGGAGGGGGAACCACAAAGAGTCATAGGATCAAAAGTTTCTCACAACTAGGCTTTTATAGCACTAAAATTAAAAGATGCAATCAAACAGAGCTTGAGTCGAAACTAAAACTAGAAAAAAGTCTGTGGAATGAATTAATAGAAGAAATAAGTGGACCTGACCAGCTTCATAAAAGACTAGATCAAATGAGGACACTCTGGAACAGGCACTCTCCTTAGCAAGATACCTCACTGCCCTAGGCACCCTTTAATTAAACGGGGTGGAAGTTTGAGCATCTTATATATACCTGTGGAGCTGTCACACTTTCAGATATGGTCACAGGTGACAGTGTAACACCTGTAGTCAGGATCAGAATGCAAAGAACTGTCCAGTACCTACAGTGAAAGCTTTTCAGAGGAGTAGACCAGTAATATTTAATGACTGGATATGCTCCTGGAATTAAAGACCTCTACACTCATATCAGAAAAGACCAGTCAAATCACAAAAGAGGCCTAGTAAGCAGGAACTCAGGAGGATTAAAAAGATCTAGGTACACCCAAAGATGGGCTCTACTACTCTCGTACAGTGCAAATAGGTTAACCCATTAACTGCAGCAGAAGCAGCTCAGTTGCCATTTTCTAACTGCGGAGGTAACTTTAATTTTTAGGGCAATTAGTAAACCATTTTTTTTATATTATTTTTCCTTTAACTTTTCTTACTTGAATAAGATTTTAAATAGCATAAATAAAAAACATAACCTTGCTAATTTAGTTATAATAATATAATTCTTTAAAGAAAATAGTTTAGAGGGAAACTAATATATATATTCATTTATTTAGAAAAATTGGCTTTTGTATGGTAGATTTCAAAGTATGATACTAAGCATAATCCAACATCGCAGTCTTTACATATATGATGTGTCCTTTTGTTTTCCTTTAGCTGCAAAAACACGGCATCAATACGAAAATCTTCCAGGTTTTCCTTCTTTTTGAGGAGTAAAGTTTGGAAAGTGACACGCTATGAGGCGATCAGGAGATGATGATGGGGCATATCTTCCTGTTTTGGAGGTGCATTCCCAATATTTTCCAATAAGCTGCTTTATGAGTTCTATTTTGAACTTTAGCAATGTATTATTTCCATTAAGCTTCTTATGAATTATAAAGAAATTCAATACAGCGATATCAAGGAATCTAAGATAGATTTTTTTTGTAGTACTTCTTTAGATGACTCCTAGCTGCGTTATAGGATGAAATCACTTGATCCATGTCATCCACGCCTCCCATCACCTTCTTGTAATCGATACACACGAGAGGCTTGCTCTTTTCCAAGTTACCTTCATTTACAGTCCTTCTTTCAGCATCATGGGTAATGCTTATCATCATCACCTCTCTCTTGTCTCTCCATTGCATGACCATAAGTTTACCTTCATACATGGTAATATCTTGTCCCTTTTTTAGCTTTGCTTTTGAAACTTCCTTTGGAATTCCTTTTTGAATTTTTCGCAAAGTTCCAATTGCATCTGTCATGTGGGAAACTAAAAAAATCAAAAAGAGGTGGCAAAGAGTAATAGTTATCCACTGCAAGATAACAGCCCTTATCCAAAAGGTCTGTCATTAGATGCAGGACAACTTTCGTTGAATGATTTAGGTATTCAGGTGCAATTTCAGTAGCACAAGGAGGAATTTGAAGATCTGTCCCCTTTCCAGTGTAAACTTCGAAGTTATACACGTATCCTGTGCTTGATTCGCAAAGAAAGTAGCCATCAATTCCAAATCGAGCGTGCTTTAGCGGGATGTACATCTTCCATCCTAATCTACCCTTCCATAGAAATAAGCTCTTATCTATGCATATATTCTTTTCAGGGGAATATGCACTCTGAAAAGACTCCTTATATAAGTTTAGAAGATCTCTAATCTTATATAATTTATCTGAAGAAGTGCAAGTGTTGCAGGAGAAGGAGAAATCTATCTCTCGGCATTGTTTCTCAAAAAAAAGGTGTTGCCAACACAAGATCCTTTGAAAAATACATCTGAAAATCAGGCTTTTTTATTATTCCCATCAATAACAACATTGCATCGAGTACACGCATTTCACCAACGTTTGTGTCTTTCCAATTTTGTAGTCTGCTTTTCTCCTTCAATAATCCTGAGATAAATTTCTGTTTGCAAGTTTCATTAGCATATGCATTAGTTTCTGAGATGATTTTCGATATTATTTCAGCATTTTGAATAGATTCAAAAATCTCCAAAGCATAATCAGGATTGGTTTCCTTTATTTTGACACCCGAATCTCCACTAAAAGTAAAACAATTTCTTTTGCTTCCGATGAGTGAACAATGTACTTGAAGTACTTGGTACATTTGTTTGTTCATTATCGGATAAATCATCAATTGTGACTTCATTAGTAAATTCTTCTTCACTAACAGAGGATAAATCTAAGCTTGATTTGTCACTTTCACAAAGGTATTGGCAAAGCTCTTCATCAACAATAACCCGCTTTGCCATTTCAAGGGAGGAAAAAAAATTTGAAATGACCCTCTCTGACTAAATAGCTTTTGAGCACTGATTGGGCTGGTTCCAGAAAATTATCCACCAAAAAATGAAATTAGGAATGAGATCTCTTCTAGTCTTTTGTGAAGCTGTGGGGTAAATCTGCTTGACACATCATCGAGGAATGGTTTTCTTGTCACCAATGTTATGAATGCTAAGCAAGGACATGCATACAAAGGTAGGAAATGTACTCACTGAGGCATCTTCAGCCACCAGATGGTATCTTCTGTCCACTTTTAATCAATAACCAATGAGTGTTGACAATGCAGCCATGGGATCTCCCTGCAAACTAGAGGCAGTGTGGATGAGTAAGGCCTCCAAAGTAGCAGTATAATGCTCGATATTTATTGAAGCATTTATATCAGAATTGACACTGACTTTAGAACTCATAGATAAGTTAACAGCATGACTGTCAATACCAAAATCTCCACACTAAAAGAGAGGAACATGATGAAAATGAAAATAAAGACCAGACTGAAAGATAATCACACCCAAAAATCTTGAAAATTGATGAAAAAATGATTTGAGATAACTACCTTATAGTCTGAATACAGGAACTGTCTGGAACCAAAGAGCATCTATAAGTAGATTGGAAAGATCCATCTGCTGGTTTTATGTTTGGCCATTTAAAAGGAGAGAAAGCAGTGAGTTGAAGTAGCAGACATTAACCGAGAAGTAGACAAGGAAAGCTAGGCAGGAAGATGAACAACACTTGCTGATCATCTCATAGGGTGATAACCAAAAATCATCCAAGTTCTTTATATTTTTATGTTTAGAAGGATGATGTTTTTAGCTAGCACTCTTCATCAGATCATACAATTACAACATGTATATGAAAAATGTAATTCTAACACTGATCCTTATTTTCCCTTCTCACTCTACTGTATACCAAAACATGATTCACTATTAAGAAAATATTTTTTTATGTATGACTTTTCAAGCAGCTAATGTTTACATAACTTGCTGCTAATACAGAAATGATAATATCTTTATATTCATCAATATAGAAAATATCTCATGTTGTTTTTGAAAATTTCCTTTTCATAATTCCTTGTGAATTTGTCACTAAGACATTAAGCATAATGTTTTGAAAAAAAATGTGGTTCAGAAGGAAAAGCAATTTTAATAACTAAATAGTTTTTACTTACCAAGCTGTTCTATGGTTCCTGTTTTTATTAGTTTATCAATTTGGTACTTCAGCTTTTGTTCAATGGGTCTTATTTTTTCAAGAACCTATAAATATAAGACATTATATATGTTTATACAGATAATTATGAATAACTTCACAGAAACTACAGAAAAAATATTAAAATTAAAAACTGATAAAAACTGGATTATTACTTTTTTTTACTCAAAAATTTTAACATAGTTTCACATTTAGTGAATAATATTAAAAAACAAAGACAACAGTGTACAACATACAGATACAGGTGTAATGAAACATTGCAATGAAACTGTTAATAGTTCTATATTTTTAAATACATTAATCTTAATTGAGCCAAATCAAGTTTACAGAAAGAAGTCTATAGTAGTGTTTCAAATATATTTCTTTTTTGTATGAAACTGTTGTACCAAGATTACCTAACTCATCCATTTAGTTGACCAAATCATAAAACCTCATTTTTAGAATAAAAAAATTTTCCAGTAGTTTTATGGCATAAGAGAAAAGGGTTATTGAAATAGATAAAAAACTTAGAATTTTTTAAGAAAAACTAAGCAACTTTTTCTACATTATATTTCTTTATTTTACAATGTTAAGTGGCCTTTAGAATAAATTACTGTTCAAAGAGTTGGAGAATTGTAACCCAAATATTGGAATACCTAACACATAATACTATTTTGGAAAAGTAATAAATGACTTATAAGTTTAAAGAGCCCCTTCATCTTGAAAGGGGTCTAAATTCTTCCTTCTAAAAAGACCTGTATAAAAATCATGTTTCCATAGCCCTTTGGAAAAATAATTAGGATTGTTCATCATTCCTATTCTAGTTATGAATATATAAATAATAATTAACAAGTGTAAAAGGATTTCAGTCTTGTCTTTATCACGTAATAACCATCAATAATTAATTATACATGCTTATTAATATTTCCACATAGTACATACTTGAAAAATAGTGATCTTGTTAACATTAAAAATTTGTCTGTTTTACAAAAGGAAGATAAATCAATGTGTATACATTTAAATAAAACACGTAAAATCAGTATTGAAAAACATTTGTCAAGATCTTTTAAACATGTTTAAAATTTGCTTTTCTATACAAATAACATGAAGATATTTAATTGTGGGATAAAAATTAAGGTTAATTAAGTTTGTCTATAGTTGTGAATTCAATATTAAGTCAACCCCCCTTTCAACAAAAGCTGACACTTAACATAAGTAATTTTTTACATGAACTTAGGAAAAAGTTAAATATGTCTTTACATAAATAATTTGATGGTACATCTATAGTTCTTGTTGAGAAAAACGATTTAATTCTTGTATTAAAAATGGCCAGTATACTGTAGCTTGTTACACATACTATACTAGAATAATGTTTGCAAGATTGTGAAGTTTTACTCTCACTTTGAATGAGTATAGAAAATATTTTAATATTACAAATAAATTGTAAACTTAACATTTTTTTTATTAATTGATACACATCAGTTTCTATAAAATTAGAGACAACATACTGATATTCTATATAAGACATTGCCATGAATCCACTAAATCAAATAGCCCATAACAGTCTTACTGTACTTAAAAAAAATAATTAAACCATTAATTGTTTTTTAATTTGATGTAGTAAATGTCATATGACAAACCACGCACATCTGAAGTGTGATTAGCAGTTCAAAATAATAATCAAAAACATTTCCTACTTAAAGTTTTTAATTTTAAAAAACTATATAATTTTTAATACAGCCTGTTTTCTTGATCCAGTATAATTTTCTATTAAGAAAAATGTTGCACACTATATTATCTGAAAACTTCAAAACATGAAGCTTTTCATTCAATAGGAATTTTTCTGAAGAAATGAAAATTGAGGCTTTGAAGGATTTCAGGATGCAAATTGGCATACAAGGCACAAAGTTTCACTACTTAAGCCACCATGACTTGAATACCACAAATCACAGTTTTTTTTTTCATTGATTATTAAGAATGAAACTGGGAAGGGATTACTAGGCTGTCTACACCACAATTACATTTTTAAGTAAGAAAACCTTATTGAGATTTAGAGAAACAAATATATATATTTCAATATTAACAGAGGAAAAACAAATTTATAATTAAACATATACAAAGAACAATAAAAACTCACAGTTCTATACTCTGCCAGCCTTTCCACTGCTGTTTCTCCACTGATTTTCTGGCCATTAAGTTTTCTCCACATCAAGAAAGTGAGGTTTGTCAAATAACTTAGGAGCATGTGGTTTTTCACCTCCAAAATAGTGATACCCTGAAAGAATCTTGGAATACTTAAACACAATGAAAATACTGAAAATAATTACTTTCAGTTGTCTGATAACATTAAAATAAAACACATAAAAATAATTGCAAAAAATTACCTCAATGTGTGGGAAAGGCATAAGTACTTTGTTTTAAATAAGGCAATTAAAACCTCTCAAATGCCTATATACTTTACAATATCATTCACATTAGATGGCAATTTGAAATCTGTATCTATACAAGAAACGGCACATCAGATGAAAGAAAACAGATGATGAACTGGTTTTAAAATTAATTACTTTCAACAATTATTTCTAAACATCGCATATCAAAATTATATCCACTCTTCTTTTTATGGAACAGGTTAAAAATAACATTTCTTTTTTCAAACTCTATAACAGATATCTATGCCCAAGTAAGCAGTAAGACTATGCAAACAATATCTAATGTTCTATTATACAGTACAAACTGAAAACCACCTGTGGCATTAAAAAATAATTTTCAAGTACATAAATATAAACTTCTTAGACTAATTACCTTTAATATGAAACTTGTGATTCATGATTTTGAGTTTATGAAAAATATTCAAATTCAACAAATTTTCAGTATTTATATGAAGGTGTGCAATTTGTGAATTTGCCCGATAACTATATTACTAATCTGAAGATAACCTTTTCCTTCAAATACTTTGGGTTTTTATACTTGGTATATACATGCATATTTATTAAATTCTATAAAACTTTGATTTTTTAAATTTAAATTAATCTTGGGTCTTAAAGTTTCGATGAATAAAGTGTCTTTACTCCTAAGCATCCTCTCAAATCACTTGAACCAATGACAGAAAACTGGTTATTGTGAAATGGTATGCCACAATTCCATGAATGCTCTTGAACAGAAGACGTCACATTGATTGTTCTTTTTGAGTGTTCCTTCAAACATTTCATGTGTTTGAATAATTGAATCAAATATATTTTCTAGCAAATCAAACAAAAGTGAATTAGAAAGCTATTTATGTTCATAAAAATTAAAGTTGACTTTTAGAAATGACAAAAGCGCCAAATGACATATAGTTTTGAAAAATAAAAGACTTGAAGGAATATTACCTGCTTTCAATCAGTTATTTTGTTCTTATGAACGTGCTTTGCCTTTTAACCCTATCGTGACATGTCATTTCAAAGGCCACATGCTCAAGTTTGTTGACTTGCATTCAAAATTTTATTGAACTACTATTTTATGAATTTATGTCAATAAGTTTGGTATCAAATTGTAGATTATAATTCAAATTTTAGTATTATACATTTATTAATTTCTTAATTTAAAAGTAAATTAAAAAAACACAGCTAAACATCGATTTTTGTGTGTCATGTGGTATGCTGAATGCAGCCCAGGTTCAAATTAGATGTATGTGATGTCAAAATACAAAGTCTATAGTTTTGTATAAATTAGGAATTCAAACTACCGATATTGACAAGCTAGAATATAAAATAAGAAACTCGTATCTTTTCTATTTGCAAAGATATCACTCATGTACTGAATCAAACACAGTGACCCCCTGCCCACATCTTTTCATTTTTGGAAATGCTCCCTTATATATAATTACTTCTGTATATATGAATAACCAATCGAAAGCTAAGAATGTCTCCCTAATGGTTTATCAGCCATTTTGATGTGTATTGTGTTAATCTTGTTCTTTTCACACAAAATTTCAAATGATAAGGTAAGTCTTTAGTGAGCTTGAAATTTAATATTTCTTTAGCCCCAAATACAGTTTAGTTACTACACTTGATAAATTATAGTGGAATTCTATGGTATCAATATAATAATTTATGGTTTTTTATTATTATTTAAAATTTATATATAAAACCTATAAAAAATATTATTTTCACTTCCTCCACATTGGAAAGTTCATAAGGCTTAGCAACCTAT